ACGTCTCTCTCTTAAATGCTCAACCATATTAAGGCAGGAATTAAAAAAAAACAATTAAATTGGACTGATGATATCTCTTTGCTCAATCTGAAAATATTTTTTATTTAATGTATTATTCTCATTAATTTCAATAAGGTTATTGCATTAATTACATTTTTTTTCTCAAATATCATCTTAGAAAAAAGCAACAAAAAAAAAAAGGTTTGTTTGAAAAAAATAATGACAAAGCAAGAATTGAAGTTGTCAATTCCAATAAGTTTGGCCAGAGAACACTTCATTTTCCTGGAAATGTTGTCTCACGGGTAATAAATGTGGTAACTGTGGGCGGTGAGTTTTGAGGACAACGAGTAGCTACGTTCATTGATTAGGGTATTTAAAGTGTTCTGTTCCTTCAAGCAAAGACATTTACACAAAATTTATATACTAAAACTATGATTATGTGACACTGTTCCCTTCTCGCATGACCACAGCATCGACTCTCCTTTCATTTGGGTTCATGCGTTGAAGCTCTGAGACTTAACACCACTGAGACATCTATGCTTAACAACTTGTCTATGTCAAAGCTCTTATTGCCCTATATTCAACTAATTAAACATTTATCTTATCTACATTCAACCTTTAGTCATACCAATATTCAATAGAATTATTCATGTTTCATCAGACATCAACACCATTACATTTACGCAAACCAATTCCTTCTCTTAAATGCATCGAATAATTTTTTTTTTCTCAATTACTGCAACAGTCAGAAATTAAATTTTCAATTAATAATGTCAGAATTCATACCCCACAGCTCGTTATCATCCTGGAGAGATAGCGATCCAGTTGGGAAGTTTTTCATGGGTTTTCTTTCCCCATGTCAGTCCTGTCCCTTATCCTCTTTCTGAATGGTCTATTGCTAGGAGGAGAATACATTAACTTTCTTACCCAAATGTTGAAAATTAATTGCACCCCTAGAGTCCTACTCCTGAGCATTTGGATAAAGAGATCAAACATATTTGGTTGAGTAGAGATTGTGGGAAAAACTGGTCCTATTAAATTGTAAGTTAAAAGGTGAGACCATATTTCTTTAGGTAGTATAAAACAAATTGCTTTTAGAAACTACTTGAAAGGAGACTAATTAAAAAAGGTGTCAAGTATATCAGAACTTTTATGGGTAGTGATAACTTTTGATAAATAGTTTTAAATTTTTCTATAAAACGGTATTGAAAATTACATCATTATTTTATAATTGTATCATTTTAATTTTATTTTTCTTTAAGTGATATTACATACTATTTTATATTTCAAATTGTAAGTTGTAACCATAAATATAAATGAATGTTAAGTTGGAATAACACTCTAATCTGGGAGAGGCAAGTATTGGTGGAATTCTTCGAGATTATAAAGGGGAAGTAGTTATAAGATTTGCTATGTCTATCGGTTTTTGTGAAGCTAATCAGGTAAAAATTCTAATTATAATAGAAGCTTTCTTATTGTTTAGCAACTATATAAAAAATTTACAAGTGAAATTATGAATTGAAATGACTCTTATAATGTGATCAACTGGATAAATAATCCTTTGAAAGTTCCTTGGCGTTTCAGACAACATATGGTACAGATTGGTTGTTTTCCACAGCTCAATTTCCAATTCAATGGTCACACATACACTTATGGAGGCTAATGAAGAGGTAGATGTACTAGCCAAACAATATGCAACATGTGAGAGTTATTTACTCCAATTGGTTGGTTTAAGAAATTTTTTATTACATATGTGTTAGCTTTATAAGCTCTAAATTGATTATAGTTTTGAAATGACAAAAATAATCAAAATTGCTTGAATGAGTTTTTTCCTTAAATTATTCATGTTAAAAACACCCTAGCATTTGCTTTTAAAATGTTCAAATACTTAACATATTTTAAAAGTGTGGGGATGAGCCCTACAACCAATTGAGATTGGTCAAGGCTTGGTTCCAATCATGCAACAATATCATTCATATTGAATGATTAAAGGTTTTTCTTCACCAATAAAATATTAATTACAATAAGTTAAAAGTCTAATTAATTGAAGTACAGGAGATTAATATGCCTTGCAAGGAAATTATAATGGGTTGCAGTAATGAGATCCCAATGCATCAGAGCATAATCTCAAAATGTTGCTGATCAATGTATCATTGAGATTGGACATCAAGGATATTTAAAGACGAGTACATTCTATGTTCCTTATTTTGGAAGTACGCAATCGATCATATAGATTGAAGTATAGAGATACTTAAAACTAGAATATAAGTGCTTATCTAAGAAAGCAAGTTCACTGAAAATGACTTGCCATGAAGGGTACATGTGGTAATACACTCCACTATCTATGTAACACTTCTCATGTATTAGTTGTAAAGTATTCCCTAGACTTGAGACACCAAGTTATCTTGTATATGGAATGATATGCTTTAATTTCATCTTTACAGGTGCCTAACCAAAGATGGCTAAACAATATGCTTTTGGGTAGATTATGAAGCATGTGAAGGCAAATGAATAGTCAAGATATAAATCATCAGCTCAAGTTTTTTAGAGGATATATCTTATCAGCTCTTGGTTAAAATTAGCTGATTAAAGTCCTTAGCAAAAGCAACTTAAAAATTATAAAAAGGTTTCATAAGTCTTTATAAAACTAATACTATAACTACAAGAACGAAGATGGAGATCAATAAGAGTAGACATTGTACCAAGCTCTTATCATTTCTAGGATACACTGGAAGGTTGTCAAAGAATCTTTTAACTCTCCTAACAAGTAGATAACCATGATGTATTGCTAGATGTCAATCTTAGTGTATGGAATCAATATGAACTAATTGATTGAAATTTATATCAATCAATTAAGTCATAAATCAATTCCATTGCTAACATGTTAAGAACCTAATAGGTCACACACAATGACATTTGAATTAAATTGGAAAAGTGATGATTTAAGTTAAACTTAAATCATACGCTAGGTAATTAACTTCTATAAACTTAATTAAAAAGAATTTAATTAAGTTTTGAGCATAATATATAAATAGTTATAATTATAATGCCAAAATTGCAATAATATAAAAGAAATTATATCAATTTAATTTCTATTGGGTTTAATTAAAATAGTTTAATTAAGTCATGATCCTATATTGTAATACGTTATAATTTGACGAACCTTATTGCAAAATTAAAGTTAATTTTAACCTAAATATATAAATCTTTTTTAACTATTTTTCCACATATGAAAAAGAAAAGTTGTAAAAAAAAAGGAGTTTTCTCTTTATGTGCTGTCACCTACTTTGTGAAGAAGAAAAAATTGTTGTTGAAGCAATTTTTCAAATATGTGATTCAGCCATCCTTATGATGAGTGGAAAAGGACAAACATTGTTCCCTTTTGCTAGCACAAAAGCATGGTTAAAATCTTCTTCCTTTGTAAAAAGGTTCAAGTGAAAATGTGTGTACTAATGTTGGAGGCCAAGAGTTTGATTGGTTAGGGTTTTTGCTACTTGTGGCGTTCGCAGGTTGCATTGAAAATATTGCTATTCCAATCAACTACAAAACTCTTGCTTTTCATATTAACACATATCAATTCAGCTCCATTAAGATCAAATGTAGTGTAAGTATTGTTTTTGAATTTAAAGAATAGTTTCTTTCAAGCATTTGCCCAATACTTAGTAAATTTTGACTGAGATTAGGCACATATAACACATTAGAGATCAATTTGATACCCTTTCATGTTTTTATTATAATAGTGCCTTTTCCTTTTACTTGCACGAGATCACCATTTCCAATCTTGACTAAGGAGTTGTATGAACCATCAAGTTGTGGTGTTTTGAGCGCAACTTGAGCTACAGATATCCAATTGCCATGATGTTAAAACCACTAGAAAGCTAAATGAAAAGTCTACAACTTTTGTATGTATCACTTTGCCTAGTTCGGACCAGATCATAGCCAAAATCACATGGGAAGTGACTAAACTATGGTAGGGATAGCACTGAGGCTGGAAAGCATAGAGCAACAACAGAGCAGCTTCAGCACCGCGGCACCATGCACTCAGCACCTCGGCACCACCTATGTTCAGCCAAGCTAGGCCATGGGACATCAAGCAGCGCCATGCTCTTAGCACTGCGACGCTACCCAAGTCAACCAAATTACCCCAAGGCAGCAGCCTCGGCGTCACAGTGCCATGATCCCAGGGCTGTGGCACCAGCACGTAACTTGGAAATCCTGCACGCTCTGATCTTTTAAATTGAAGGGCTATGTGGAGGGGTTTAAAAAGGGATTTTTTTTGGCTGAAAGACTAGAGTTCAAAGCAACCTTCAGGAAAAAAAAAAGAGCAGCTTTCTACAGAAGAGGAAAAGAGGAGAAATCAAGAAAGATTGGGTTTCATCAGCTCATTTCTCTCACTAGTTTTCTCTTTCTTTCTCTAACTTTTATTTGAGAAATGATTTATTTTATGAGAATATTGAACTTTGTTGTAAATATGATAAGCTATTTTTTTTTCTAAGATTGTGGTTGAGCTCTTCATGTAATTTGAATATTTTAACTCTCTTTTACTTATTATTAATAGGTATTGTGTTGTTTATTTCAAATCTATACTTATGGCTTCTAATTGTTTTATCAACAATTGATTGATTTGAGTTTCTAAATGCAACTTGACAAAATAGATCAAGGGTTTGAATAGTATGTGTTCACTTCACTTACAGCTTAGGTGATTTGATTAGTCTTTTGGATAAAAATATACTTAAATATGATGTGCAGCCAAATTTAGAGCATAAGCTAGCAATCAACCTATTGATATAAGTATAAAGAGGGAGATTAAATTCAAATGAACAATAGAGTAATTCCACAATCCTAGACGCTAATTCACTAACTCTCTAGCACTTTTTAACATTAATTCTCTAATTTAGCTTGTTTCCTTTAATTTTATTTTTAATTAATTGTCAAATTAGAATTATTTGGATACGATTAGATACCTAATTTTAATAATTAACAAAAATTTAGATGAACGATATGACTTGGCTCTATAACAATTTCATTATAATTTATAGTTTTGAACTTTTCATTGTGTCAAACAACCATAGCCTTATGCAAGTTGAAAAAGAATCAAGTGCCAAAAAAGAAGAAAAGAATCGTGCATTCAGGTACAATGGCATCGAACTGGAATAGATATACCCACTGGTTGTCTTTTCTCTCGAACAATGGCTTCCTTAATCGCTGGCAATTTTTGCTGAACCTTTTTCCAAATGTGATTTACAGCACCATCAGAAGGAATTGGCCCAATGCCACCCGGATGGCCATTATCATACACAAAAATAGGCTGCACCTTAGCCATATTCTGACGGAATTCATCCCTACGTTTTTCAGCAAAACTTCTAAGATGAGCAACAAGCCAATTTGGTCTCAAAGCATCACTTACTGCCACAAAAACTGAAAATGTTGAGTAATCCACCATCCCTTCAAAGGGGAGCTCAATATTGTCGCTGACAATCACGGGAATACAAAGACTTTGGATGGCATCAAAAAGTCGGCATGAAGTGGGAGTATCACCAGCTGGGTGCAAGCAGAACTCTGATGATCTCATCCCCTTAATTGACTGCTCTCTTCCAGTGGCATTAGGGAACCCTTCTTCCATAATAACTCCTGGTTCGTTAACCAACAAGTCCCATAATTTTTCTCGAACTAGGCCTCCCTGAAAATTTTAATAAAATTGACAACAAAGTCAAGCATAGGAGAGACATAAAGATTTCAGTAAGAACTGTGATAAAGCCAGCCTGAAATTAACAACATAATAAAGGAAGCTCAAAGCTGAAATGTCTTAACCCTCAGTATACAGTCAAAGGTAAACAACAATCAAGTAAAACAATTTTAATTTATAAGATGATACGCAGCTAGCTCCAATGTTAGGTTGTTTGATACTAACCCGGTGCCTGTGTTTAGCTCCCTTAAAATAAAGGAGGGTTTGTCGTTTCTTGTTTTCTGACAACTGCAGCCTAGGAAGCAGATGGGTATATGGAACAATCACGTCTTTAAGCAATGAAACTTGGGTGTGATGTATCACGTCTGATGAGTTACCATTGGATGATTTAGTATCAAGCCTAAACCACCCACCAAAATCCACAACCAGTAAAATAGCTGGGGCTATCTCTGCTCTGAAATGCCACATTGCAACTGGGTCTGCCAAAGAATGCTTCAAGGTTTAACATAACCTGACAATCCAGAGACTAAATCATAAGCTGTAAAGCATGCATAATAATTTTCCACTTTTTTCCTTCTTCTTTAGGCACTGATGGTAAATTATCAACAAATCATTATATTCTTATATGAAGAGCCAATTTCAAAGGCATGGCATATTTTAGTATAATTGACCCTACATGGCACAATATTTTCAAAGCAAGGAGTCAACAATGATATAGAAAGAAAAAGAAAAAAAAAAGAAGGTGGATTACACAATTAAACCATAAAAGTTAGAGGAGTAGTAACGGTGTATAACCTACAAGCTACAAGACAATAAACAGTTTACAGAAGCTGTAAGACTTCAAAGCTAACAAAACAGCTCGCCTGAATCAATTTCTCTTATTCCTTCTAAGATTGTTACTGAGGGGCACAGATTTCAACCAATATATATGTAACACTAATTTTTCAAAACTTAAAAAGCTAGCTAAATAAATTTGAAAATGCTAGACCTTGGGCAATAGGCCACCTCTTTCTAAACTAGCTGAATGACACACAACTCTTCCCCTTTTTGACTGTCTGAAACCTATATCTCTCTTTTGTGACCAATTTGGGCTCGGCTTGACTTTCTACACCTCACTTTGTCCTAAACTACCTTCATGTCATCCTAAGGCTAATTACACAAAATTGACAACCATGCTATCCTCTGCCTTAAAATCTGACCTTCATCAAAGGCACTTTCATACAATAGTAGCAGTCTTCTATCAAACACAGCAATTTGGTTTCAGATATCATTGTCAATGATTTTCTATGAAAATTGCACAGCAGCTGTGCAACCATCTTCAATACAGCCTACAAGCTTAATTTGCATTGAACTAAAAAAATTAATATTGTGCACAAAATGATCAGCATATCAGTACAGGACTCCCTAACACAAGAATAGCAACTAGGATGATGCATCCATACAACGCCTAAATAAAAAGATGTCTTCTAAAGCAATGAGTGCTTGTTCCTTTAGCATGTTTACAAATCCCACATATTTTACTAATCCAAGCAGACCAACCACCCCTCCAAGATCACTACTTATACTCATATTCTTCCAGCTACTAATGACTAACAAACTAACTATCAAATGGTAGAAAAATATAAATCATAGGACTAAATAAAAACACAAGTTACTCCACTTTCCATTGCCTAATAAAACCTATCCATCCAAGAACAAATACCAAAGAAACTAAAAGAATCCATCCTCAAGTCTACAGCCAAGTCCACAATGACAGAAAAGAGTTGTCCGTACGACTAACCAAGCAAAACACTGCTGACTAAGGTACTGTCTGATTGCTATATTGCCACTTTCTTTTTGCGATTAGAAACACAGAAAGCAACAAGTCTATAGCACAAATCGTCCTTCAAAGCAAGTAGTACTATTTTTTGAAAACTAAAAAATAAATGCCATATTTTTGGGAGACCAAAATTCATTATTTTGCTTTTTTATAACATAATCACGTTGAAATCAGTACTGAAATTTAGTCACAATATTCGTTTTGAATCAATTAATACAACAATTAAGCTTCTTGAATGACTTTCAGGAAGGAAAAACAAATAGAAAAGGTAACTACAACTAAACAGCCTAAATAACTAAATCCCAATACATTCAACAAAAAGAAAAACTCAGAATAAGAAATTAAGCAATAAGCATATGGATTTAAAAGAACACAAAATATACTCAAAATTAAGCACATTACCAGTGAGAACGAAAACATGATCCCGTCCTCCAGACCGTTTCCAAGCCTCAGTTTTCCTCACAAAATCCACCACTTCCTTTTGCCTGGAGTAATCTCGATTTCCAGCTTTCTTCTTAAACGCACCGCTTCCCGATCCCAACTCCATCTCGGCACTCAGGGTAGCAAAAAAAGGAACAAAAACAACATTAGCCTCACTAACATCAAAAACCCTTTTAGCAAAAGATCCAGTTCTTAGCTCTCCAGGGGTTTCCAAATCACCAAGGATCCAGTACTCCGCACTGTATTGTTTGATCAATGGATTCTCAGGATAAGGAGGGTATTTGGTGGATTTGGTGAAATGGGTACCTGGGATCTGATGGTCCGGGTCCGCGGGGATTCGAGAATCGGGGTGATTGGAAGCCCAGTATTGTTCGAGTAAGCCAAAGTTAAGGGATCTGGGAAGGTTGGCTACGTACACTTTGATGGAGTTCTGGAAGGAAGGGAGGGTAGTTTGGGAAAGGGAAGTTGCAGGTTGAGTAGTAGGGGAAGTGAAGAAAAAGAAGATGAAGAGAGAAAGGGAGAGAAGGGAGAGGAGAGTGAAAGTGAGAAACAGAGATTTTGTTGCAGTGCTGCTTTTCATTGCCATTGCTTCTCCTCCTTTGCTTTGCTCCTCAGTTTCCTTCTAACTTGTGCGCTTCTTCACTCATTTTGGCTAGACCGTGAGGGGCTGTATTGAATTTGAAGAGGATGCTTTGAGATTTGGGTATTTCAGTGAGCTTGCAGTAAGAGGTTGTTTAGGAAGAAGGTTTCTGAGGTAATTATCATTAAGAGTAATGATAGATCCAAATATGCCCCAGGGGTGTAAAAGCTCAACGCGATTCACTAGCTAAGTGCCGTCGCGTTGTCTGCTTCAGGGAGAATGTGATTAACATTAGATAGACGAGGAGAATCAGAGTACATATTTATAATTATAATATATTTAATTATATTATATTATAATATTTCTTTTATAATAAATCATTATAATTAATAAATATAATGTGATTATAATCTGCAATTATATTATATTACATAAATTGTTAAAAACATTTTTATTTTTTAAATTAAAATAAGAAAAAATTATATTCAAAAATAAAAATAAAATATATTAAAAATATAATTAAGAGATGATATTATATTCAAATTAATATTAAAATAATATAAATATATTGAACTTACATTTTAATATATAAAGACTATTCTAAAAATTGATATTACATTCTTCGTATTTTAATCTTTTCGTAATTTATATATCAAACATTGTAATACTATCTTCATATTATTTGTAATCACGTTACATTGTAAGGTACTGAATGTCACTTTATTATTTAGTTTTTGATTGTTGAAAAGATAATTATGGAATGTTCGATATATATATATATATCGAAGGAAGTCATGATTGCAAAGAATGTGATTACTAAAAAGATTACATTACATTGTTTGATTTGAAAAGATTTTACTTAAAATGTAGTGTTAATTTACATAATTACCTGAAAATATAAAATTGGATAAACTTATATATTTTTAATGTAAACATTTAACTTTTTAAACTTTATCTCTTAAAATAATAAATAACAACATGACAAAACAACAAAATATTTTTATATTATTTATTTAAATACTAAAATATACAAAATTATTACATATTTATTTTTATAATAATACCTATAAATATTGCAAATACTTATTTTTGTAATAGCACCTAGAATTATCACATGAATAATAATAAAAAACAATATTCAAAAAGTTTTTCAATTTTTTTGTCAACTTCTTTGGCTAATTATTTCTATTTTTATTTTTTAAAAATAAATAGTAAATATTTTTAATAATATTAATAGTAGTGTTATTTACAAGTACATATAAATACTAAGAGCAATTTTTTTTTGTAAAATGGAGGTAGATGTTTCCCAAGAGGGGGAAATGAAGACTGCCCCAGCTGGCACAAGGGACATAAAAGAGTCTCTGTGCTGTATCCTGGCTTGCTCTGTTCCACCCTGTCTAACCCAAAATTGTTGTGGGTTGGGGAAGTTATATAGACTGTAAGCCATGCCTGTACCAAGACCGAAACCATAAAGAAGCAAATGACAGCAAGGAAATGTTAAATGTTTTTCACATTCAATATTACTCAGATTGATACACATGCTCTTCTAGCATAAAAGTTAAGTTGCACCCACAGCAAACTAATACAAAATAGAGAGGCAAAGGATTAGGGTTCTAACGCTATCCCTAAGAGGAGAGTGCCCCACACTCTCCTACCTCAAACTAAACAAACTAGCGCTCCATTACAACCTCGTCAAAATTCCAGTCTCTCACAAGATCCCTCCTCACAGCACGACTACGCACCAGCCGCGGGGGACCTGCCATTCCAACGCTGTTTTGAAAATTTGGTTGTGGGGTCACTTTGGAGGTTGATGGTATAGTTGGTCTCGCAGCTGGAAGAGATGACTTCCGGGCCAAGCAGTTAGCAATGGCTGAACATCTTCCCTCATTATCTGAACTTGAAACAGAGTAACTCCTAAAAGAATGCGACGGACTTTCCACACCATGACACACCAGACATGCAAGACTCATGTTTCGGTCTTGAAGACCCTCAAACCAGAGATTGCCTTTTTATCCTGTGATAATACAAACAGATATAAGAAGATAAAGTGTGAATGTTCCATAGCATATATTCATTATATATTATTGAAAGCAGAATTCAAAATAGAAAAAGCTGCTAACAAATCAATGTTAAATGTTTCATGAACAAAAAAGAAATGTAACTCTTAAATTTAAATAAACAAATTTACAAAAGCGCAGCAGCATAAAGAACAATGTCGGAGAAAAATGCTAAAGAAGCTAATAGTTTGTTTATCTGATCATTTTGAAGTGCATACACAGCATCTATAACAAGCAAAACTAAAGTAATTACTCTAAGAGGAACTGCAAACCAGACTGTCATTAGCATTCAAAGTTAACAATCATCATGGAGAATGACTCATTGATTTTTGCCTAAATTTATATCAAGTTGGCAGTCCCACTTCCTGGAAGGCTTACACTTGTTTTCTTTTTCATTTTTCCTTTTGAAGCCTGTTAAAAGATTAAGTCTAAGATGTTGCAGATAGAATGCAAAAAGATCACAAAAAACTAAGTTGGGCCCAACATGCAGACCATGGATCTTGATTAAGCAGATAAAACCAGAAAAGTGCACATATGATTGTAAACCATGAAACTTAGAAAAAGTATTGAACTATTTCAAGCATATTGCGCATTCCAAATTCAATGCAAGGTAGAAAGACTACTTGGCCTTTCTTTTGAGTAATTTAACAAGTAAACCACAGATATGGTTCATTATTTTCTTAGCCAACATTAGAGAAAATGACAAGATCTTTCATATAACCTCTTCAGCCATTATTTGAAGTTCAAATAAGGTAAAGAATGTGGCTTGATAGACCCTAAACTGTAAAAAAATTGATAAACATGTTGGATACAACTGGGGCAGGATTTAAGTTCAAATCTTAATAAGATATACAAAGAAAGGCTATAATACTAAATAAGCCCTAGAACTTTCTCACTTTTTCTAACAAGCCCCTATTGTATAATTTGTGTCCAGATAGATCCTTATGTTGACAGAAAGATGTCATTTGTATCACATAACCTTAACAATCATTGATCAACTGATATTTTCTACATATGTGGATAGCGATGTGGCTTTTCTAACATTGCGAAATTGGCTAAGTGGGAAAATTTCTCTCCAAGGCATGGGTCACTCTAATCCAATTTCGCCATGTCAAAAGAGCCACATCATCTACCACAAGTACAAAGGATGCCAGCTAGCCATAAGCTTAACAGCCACTAAAGTCATGTGTCATGTGAAATCTTATCGTCAACATAAGGGCTTAACTGGGTAAAAATCATAAGATAGGGGCTTTTTTGCGTACAATGAAATGATAGCTTTTCTAAGAAATTTGAGATAGCTTAGGGGCATATGTAGTATCTTAACCCAAAAGAAACAATGGTTCCATAGCGAATTCTAGTCCACTTATCAAAGCCTATGGTACATTAAAAGCAAAATGCATAACTCTTACGCTGTAAGCCTTGATGGCATTCTTGCAATTTTTTGTCAACAATTAGCCAACAAAAAAGGCAGAGGAAGAGTTCCAACTAAAACTTAAGCTTTAGAACATGATATTGTCCAACTTCCAAATAACAAGTTAAACCAGTGAGCAATTCTTCATTTTTGAAATTCTAGATAAACCAGAACATTTCTCAGTTCACCAACAGTGATTTGACTACTTATTAAGCTAGCTGTTTCATGAATGTAAAGCTAAAATTCTAAAATTAAGCCCTGTCTGCTATACTAGCATCCTTCACTTGTTACCTTCTCTACCACAGGCTATTGGTAGATTTTAACTTTAACCTTTGATAAACCACATCTCTGCGGGAAATAGCAGAAACTGCAAAAAGGTCTTCCACTAACAAAATCATAATGCTTAAGAAGCTAATTGCCAAGCATCATCAAATTTCTGAGGACAACCAACAGGAAGAACCCTATCTCCATATGTTTGTATGTATGCATGTGTGTGTCTACCATCATTGTTATATCTTCCACTATCAAAGTTTCCATTGATTAATGCATTAATTTCCCTTTCCTTAGATATTTCTTATGTTACCCACACATAAATGGGTATACAAAATGCTAGAAAATATCTTAGATGTACATCATTCCTTGTGAATACAAAAGACGAAAGCATCAAACTCACTGATGTGTCGAACAAATGTGCATACCTAAAGATGTTCCGGTGAGGGGAGCCCCTCGTCCCTTATCTAAAGGACTACAATCGAATATCACACCATGTCCCAATCAACATCAAAAGACCAAAGCAAACAATGGCAAACAAATAAGCAACTTGCTTAGCAGGTCTTTCCACCAAAATTGGCATGTAGTAGTTCCCAGCTCTATTGATGATGCACAAGAAGAGATTCGTGCTATACTAAAGATGTGGTATATAAAATCAAACTTGATGTCTCAATTTCAAGGATGACAATCTCATTTACAAGTGCATATGCAGACCTATACAAATAATCAAATGATCTATTGAACTGATTCTTAAAAGGAAATAGAAATGACTCTGACCATGCTACAATCACAAGCATGTAGGATGTATGAAGGGAGAAGAATAAGTTTATTCATGCACTATGATTTTCCTACAAACCCTACACAGTGCATCAGAAGACCTATGGCCCAACAATCATGCTAGAATCACAAGCATGTTGGATGTATGAAAGGAGAGGAATATGTTTATTCATGCACTATGATTTTCCTACAAACCCTACACAGTGCATCAGAGGAACTATGGCCCAACAGCCTTGCTAGCCTTGCAATATTTACACCACACTATCCCTCTTAAGATATGCCCTTTCCAAAAGTTTATAATGAAATCTCATATGCAAAACACTAAACTGCAATTTGTGCATGATATAATAAATTGCCCAAACAGCAATACAACAAAAAATTCCAAAGAATAGTCGCTTACATTCATTGTTACAACCAATCATCCATCAAACTATGCCTTATTTACCTCATAATCCAACACAAGACCAATTCATCCCCTTACACGTATAGTTCAATATGCAAATCATATCCAACTTTTCAACAACCTAAAACCCTAAAAAATGAATATCAATGCAATTCAATTACCTCCCTTTTTCACTTTTACATTTACGAAAATGACTAAAAAGAAAGAAACCCATCTCAAAAACACTTCGTATTTCGGGTTCCCATGAATTGAAAACCATATTTCTGAGCTGAAGAGCACAAAGAAACCAGAACCCAGAAATCCAAGAAAACCAAGAAAGTATATGTTAAGCCATACATGAACAAAAATCCACACAAAAAACATAAAGTAAAAACAAAAGAATTCAAACAAACAGAAGCAGAGATCTGAGGAAAGAAAATTATTACCCGGAACTCTTTCGTTTCAGGTTTTGGGCGAGTTTGGGGCTTAATGGAAGTGTGTGTTAAGCTTTATTACTTTCGATGTGTTGTTGATTCCTGGGAGGCTTAAAAGAGGGAGCCGTGCAAGTGGTTAAGTGGGTTAAAAGGGGAGTAGTGTGGGAGGGGACGAGCCGACGCATCAAGATTCTGTTAGCGTGGACGAGGAGAGGCCCAGGGGACACGGCTGTCACTTTGTTCCTGTTGAAGAACCAATCATGTTTATCCATGTATGGAGGGTGGAGAAATTTATTTTCTTTGTCCACATCCGTTGACTTGGAAACTTTTACTTTCTACTTCTGACCATGCCGCTTCTTCACCGTTTACATTTTACATGCTATTTTTTTGGGAAAAAACAATTGTTTAATTTTCTTGATATTTGGAATTATTAAAACGGAAAGCTATTGATTTATTGGTAAGGGTTTTTATTTATTTTTTTTACTTAATAAATATATTTTATAAATTAAAAATATAAATTCGTGATAAGTAATCATATTTGATTTAAGATAGATTCACATCAAATCGAAAATTTTACATAATTAAGTAGATATATCAGTAAGAAATGAAATGAGTGAAGGAGAATGTCACGAATCTCATGTTAATAAAAAATATAAAAAGTTTTACACTTATAAGTAAGATCTTTAACTTATTTAATAATTATGTTTATTGAATTAAAAACGTGAATCGTGATATTAAAATTTATTTAATTTTTTATTAATACGAGTCTTTATGAGAGATATTAAAAGTCTTGCAAATTACTAATAAATAAGTGATGAATCTCAAACATCGAGGATGGATTGGCCTTTCCGGTTCACATTTTATAGAATAAATTACTCCAATAGTCATGCACGATTTATACAATTTGCTAGAGCACTAAATTCTCGCTGTCCTTTTGTGTTTGAAATGGTAATCATTGTACATCATCCCGCAATATCATGTTCAATTTCAATTTGATTTCTCAATTATCTATAACATTACAAATTTCAAAAAAAAAACCAAAAAAAAAAAAAAAAGGTAATACTAGATACAAGAATGGAGTTATGCATGAAGAAACCAAAATGTCTTTCAAACTCTGGAGTACCTGGCTTCCCTATGCAACAAGAATGGATACCCAATTCCCCTTCTCCTGGAAGGAAACACCACAAACAAAACACTTACGACAAAGCCAACCACAAGAGGAACAGTGTTGGTGACCTTCCTTGGGATTCCTGGATAATAGCATGCCGCAACGTCACTGTGCGACCCTGCAAAGGCTAAAAATGCAACCAATGAAAGCCACGCATGGACGATATCAGACCATCTCAGCTTGTAATCTGATGGGATGCAAGGTTTCTTCCTTCCAGCATTGAATGTCCAAATGCCCCTGAAGGTTGCTATCCCATAATACAACCTTCCCGTGGCTGTTCTGAAGCTGTCTGTGAATGTGAAGAATACACAGGAAGCTGCCAGGAAGACCAGAAAAGAACCCATCACCCAGCGGCTGAGAGAGGTGCACTGGCCATCATTGGTTAGGAGAGGAGCAAAGATGGTGAAAGCAAGGATGGTCGCTGTTGGTAAGAGAACATTGAGCCTGGCAGTGCTACTTAGGATTGCATTGATGATGTAAAGGTAGTGAGATTCATCTGCATCATCATCTTTAAGGTATTGGTATTCATCCTTGAGTTGAAAGCTTTCAGTGAGATCTTGGGTGATCGGGTTTTCCATGACTAAATGAAGGCAATGCAAAATCATGGTTTCCGTGAGAAGTTTATATTACGTGTTGGGAAGAACTTTATTATTCTTTGTTCAAGTTTAGGAAGGGAATCAATTCCTTTCCTAATTCCTATGCTTTTATACTACAATATTCTTCCCCATGGCTTACTTTCGGCATTTACTTTCTGCTTGACACAAGGATAGAATTTGCCATTTGTATCACAGAGGAAACCATATCCCTGAGCCTTTGTTAGGAACTCAGCTCACTGTGGACCGAGACACACAAGACTGGATGCTTGAATCTCATCAATACACACTTCGATCATTCAACAGAAAAGAGCAACTACTGAAAAATTTTCCATTAAACTCCTGCTGATAAATTTTGCTAAGAAGTCTAGACTCAAGGTTCAGGATGGAATCTGAAAGTGATCAGAAACCTGGAAAACAAGAGTGCTTGGTTTCAATTGCCAGACCGTGCAGCAGCCGTTATTCTTCCCTTCAACCACTGGTTTGACGAATGCAGGGTATAATTCAAATCCTCGATATAACTAACCCTATTTTCTGACCATGTGTACAAGTTAAACTTGCTCCTTCCTTTAGTAGCATGCTAGTTAGTAATAAGGTTAAATCAGACAGCCCAGACCAGAAACTAGAGTTTCACAATAGCAGCAACTAAAAAATTTGACAGGCTATCGATAGCAGAAATGCAGAAGAATAGCAAATAACTAAAAGAAAAGATATCGAAAAGACAAAATGCTACTGACAATAGCTGAAACTTTCCATTGATTTCAAATTATCAGTCTTTCAATAACAGCGGCTCTCTACAATTCCTCACTTGACTGTACAAAATTATGAACATTACGATGGATATGGCGGACCTATAGGAGAAAAACTATCCCCAGAAATTTGCTAAAAATTGCATAATAATGGGGTAAGATATGTACACAGCATTGTTCAACTGGCTGTAAAAATAGGGCTAATTCAAGAACAAAAAAATGAGAAACCAGGTATACATGAGCTAGGTAGAAATACCATTTAGGTATGCTTGCTTTAGGGACTTGGATTGAGATAGATCATCATCTCCAGTGCCACAAAGTTCACAGGGGTCAGAGGATTCCTGTGAGCACCAATGATCTGGAACACTCAAAAAGTATGTCGACATGAACTTTCTGAATCTTTTCTTATACTCCTTAGGAGAAATAACAGTTGGCAACACATTCTTAGGAACAACCAATGAAGACTTAACCCACGTCTCAAGTTGTTTGTCCCACGTATACTGCCTGAGATAATCAATAATCCCACATACAAGCTCCTGCCGCTGAGTATCCACCCCAACAAGTAAAGAATAATCCATTACATTGATTGACTACAAATAAAAGAAAACAATGGAACGGTCAGTCAATAACTCACTCCAAATTAGAGAATTATTACCTAAGAAAGGGAAAAAAAAAGTTCTAACAGATTATTTTTATGTTCTCCTTTTTGGTGGGGGTGAGAAAAGAGAAGTGTTGAATATGATTCAAGGGCAAATATTTTCAAAAACAAATGCTGCTCAGAATAGAATTTAGCAAAAGTCTAATTGAAAGAACTAAAAGCTCACATTTAGGAAAGTTGTGTCATTCCATACAGCCCGCTGCAAGAGACGTTTGGCTTTATTACTAACATATAATGGAGAGGAATTCATGTCATTGACAAAGTTCTGATCTAAAAGAACATCTCCAGAACCATCAGCAGCTGAATTAAATCGAGCATGCAAGGCCCCTTTCAGATCATACTGGCGAGTAATATTTCTACCGAAGGTAAGATTTTCCATCACCATAAGATCATGCCTAGACTCTTTCCCCGTCTTTGTCTGTCTTACTATCACCTGCAAAATGTTAAAATGTTCAAGCAAAAAAGCAAAGAATTAAAAGTCAGATGAAAAAATAAATAAAAGCAAACCTGATAAATTCCAAGAACTTTAGCAAGGCAAGTTTGGCTTCCAGAGTCAAATGATTGATTCATGTACTTGAAATAATGTAAAGCAAACTTCTCAAATGAATCATACTCCGTCTTCTTAATTTCCTTTATAATAAACCTGTCATCAAGTGTTTTAGCAAAAAAAGACTTGCTCTTCCCTCCTTTGGCATCCCAGTTTCTACAACGGCTAAGCGAAGCAATAAAATCAAGCTCTGAAGGGCAGCACCTGTCCCGAAGATCCCGGAACCGATTAGCATACAAACATATTACTGAGTATTTACCCTTCCCAAGTGATTTGGAAACCCCTAGAGAAACCTCTATGTTAAGAGCATCAAGAGGAAGTAGAGAATCCAACAAGTTCAACCCATCAAAACTAGACAAGCGTGACTCTTCTGAAGAAATGCTCAGACTAGAGACAGAATCAGAATCAGATGAACCACTAGAAGACCAATGTGAGGATGTTATGGTAGGAACTCGAATGAGACTACGTAAACTTTCAATCATTTTATCTCTCCTGCCATCCTCATTGGACGCTTCTATTAGAGCAGGCAGATCTTTCAGCATCGTTAATGCACAAGCAATTATACTTGAGAGTTCGCCCTCATAGTCTGACACAATAAAATCATTAGTTCCTAAGGGGATGTGTAGCCTTGACCCTTCCTCCCTGATTAATTGATAGCCTGTGGGTACTTGCGCTGGAGTATGACCACTGACGCATTCAAACTTGGGGGCATTTCCTCTCAGAAGATCCCTCATATATATCTGTCTGATTTCAGAAAAAGGCATCCAGAACCAACCATTTAGGTTTTCTAAGCTGGAAAGAAATGAACGTGGGGATCCACCCCTCCTAGATCCATTTGAATCGACAACAAAATCATTGTCTGCAAGATCTGAAGAAATTGAGATTGTTCTATCCATTTGTAAATGATCTGACATAGGTGCATCCTCTGCTTGACAATTCTCATCACCAAAATGAGGATGAACAGATATATTAGATGTTGCAATGGACTCGTGGTTGGATGATTTCATAGGGCATACACCATTCACTGTTGGCTTTTCAATATTCTCAAGCACAGTGGAATTGCCATGCATGCTGTCACATCCTACAGATATTTGAACAGGAATATCTAGAGAGAATTCATCACCTGAAAATTCATTTCCTTCAACAAATGAACCTGGCTCAACTTTCAAATTAGCAGTATTATCAGAACCTAGATCACCATTTCCAGAGTTAGTTTCTGTCCCACTGTCCTCTCCATCAGCGCTACCCGTATCCGACTTCAGTTGGTCTGGCACTGCTTTGTTACTGGCACCGGTGACTACTACTGTAGGATCAGGCAAGAGGAGAGAATGCAGGCGTCGATCCCAAATGCACGATTCCAGAAGAAGGTCCCACCTTAGTCGGTTCAAGCTGAGGAGTTTATGAGAACCCAAGTTTGCATTCCCAATCTTTACAACAACATTCTGAATGTTTACCTGCAGTTTTTTCCCAATAATATAAATGATCAGAGAAACATAAGCTCAATTAAATAGTGATTTGAACAGCATGGCAGAGCAAAAAGCCAAGATAATCACCATAAATGAAAATTCTTCATTTTGCTATGTTTGTTGATTTGTATCATGAATATTGCAAAATTTATGTACAGTCAAGTTTCGCTTGGGACAGTAATTTTGTGTAAATGAGGGAAACAAACAAAAGCACACACTCACAATAAATGTGACAAACTATCTCGCACAGATTTGAGGAAGAAAATACTTGCTTGTGGGTGGTGGATGACTAAACATAAAATCAAGGGCACACAACAACATATCAGAAAGAAGAAGAGAAAGCCAACCTCAAATTCAGAAGCTTCCAATTTCAACATCTCTTCAACGTCAGAGAACTCTTTTAACGAGCCTTTAAGGTTTAGAGTTAAGCCCACAAACTGAGACCTTATCTGCACCAAAAAGCTTGCAACCTCTCTAAACATTAGCATCCCTTTCATGTACACCTAAAGAAATACCAATGCCAATTCAAATTTATTAATACAAGTGAATGTTGGTAGGGACAAGACAAATGTATAATTAATCACAGAATAAACATTATATCAAAAGTCAAAGCACAGTGAAAATAGAATATGCACATACATTTTCATATTCTTCCTTCAGCCAGTCTGGTCTAATTGACTTCCTAAACTCAAGCTGTTGGGGAGGCAAAGACACAGTATAAGTGGCAACAGAAGAGTAACTAAACATTGCAACCATAGGGCCTAACCTGCAGTTCCATGAACATAACAAGAAATATAAGGACAACAAAATTCAAAAGGTAGTACTTTGAGAGTTTCTAAACTTTTTTAACTGAAACATAGAAGGAAAAGCAAGCAGAAGTTAATTATTATCACACAGCTCCATAGGAAGAGTTAGCATTTTGCCAAAATTTGCAAAATGTTCCACATTCTAAGACCAGCATAGAAAAGCCAAGAATAGAACTTAACATGGAAGAAGTCCCTGAGCATATGCACACTATAAATCTCCCCAACTTCTAGCCAATAAGTATATTCACAAGTTTGTAAAAACACAAACTGTTACTGTAATTATCAAAGCCCAAGTCTCAAACAGAAGGGCACATTTTTCCCATTTCGAAAATGCATTTGAGAGTACTGAGAATTTATTGTTAAATGAAAACAAAACAGTAATCCATACCCAAAGAAATACAGGAAATCCCTCTGCATAGAATGCCTGCAGCTGGGTAATCCTCTGGATGAAGAGCAGTCAGAAAAGCTGAGCTCCAAGAACTTTCCAAATGAGAGACCACATGCAGTGGTTGAAATTAGCACTCTTTTTGTAGATTTTGAAATTCCATTCCCAGTTTTGCACTTGCCACAGCGACTCCACATCCAGAGTTTTCCCTCTGCTTCCCCAGGTAAATGCTTAGAAAGCCGTTTAACTTGTATTGTTAGCTGCTTATTATGATGTGCATAATAGTAAAAGTGAGCTTCTGGAAGTTCACCACATACAGCACACTGGCTTCTCTGCACAAAGCAGACGTTTCAATCAGTGGAAAATTCAATAGAACCACACATTTAGAAAAAGTTGGGTTTCCAATGCAGTCTACCACTTAATAGAATTGAAGGTTACCTATGTTTCTAGAGATTAAAAAGGTAAACTATATACCCAAAGAATTCACCAAAACAAAATTTAGTAACATGACAAGATAAAAATTCATATCTCCAATAGTTTAGAGCAATGGCAACCTAATCAAACTTAACTCATCAAGAATCACATTTTGGAGAAAACAGCATTAGTAATAAAAAAAATCCCTAATAAATGTAGATCCCAGATACCTGATTAAGTAAATTATCTTGAAGGAACTTTCCAAGGGGAACATCAAAATTCCTATAGAACATGATATGGCTAAAATGGCTTTGCTCACAAATAGTCCCCCTTAAGGCATTTCGGCTAGACATAAGAACCAAAATACTTTGTGAATCCAACATTGTATTGATGTCCTCCTTATTTTGCATTTTTTCTTCATTATCATCACCATTGACTTTCAAGTTAAGTGGGGCTTCAGTGGAAGCCAGAACAGATTGAGATTGTCCATCATCAA